TAAACGCTACCAGCCGGAATACTCCTCCCTGAAGAGTCAGGCCCAAGGCCACAACTCACACAGATGGAAAACAAGCTCAGAGGCCTCTGTCTGCTCCTCTGCAGCAGCATGTGATAGCTATGTAACAGGCCTCACAACCTATATAAACCTCTCCTGGCCTTTCTGAAGCAGCACATGCTTTGGGGCACATATCGAGGCTTGGCTCCCAGCAGGCAGTGCTGGAACTAGACCACTTAGTGGTGACTCCAGCTGGGTCCCTAGACTCAGCCCGAGTGTGGTCCTTGCTGGCCATTACTGCTGCCTCCCCTCCTACCACATGTATGCAGAGTTCTTCCTCCTCCGGGCTCAGCTTCCTGCGTCCAATCAGCGTGACCCTGGCAAAGAGCTGCTGTGCCAACAGCTCCCTCAGAAGTACTCGGCCAGTCTCCCCTGAGGCACCTAGGATGAAGCAGGATTTCTGCTGGGTCCGACAGTGCTCTCGCTGCTGCTGTCCGTCTCCTGCTTCAGTGGCCATCCTGTGGGGGGGCCGGGAATAGGAACACAGCCCTCTTAGTACTTAACCATGGTCTGCTCTCACACTTCCTGCAGTGGGGGACCTCCATGCCACCAACAACTGGCTAGCACCTGTCAAATAAGTCTCCACTGAGTGTGGCAATGATTGGGTGTATAGTTCCAGGAAGTTAATGATTGTTTATTCGCTGGCTAAGGAGCTCTCATGACAGCAGGGGATCAGTCTGGCACTAAGCCCACTCTGCCCACACCCACAAATGTGCAATCCTTGTGCAGCGTTGCCAGCTCTCCTAACTGCACTGCACTTCTCAAAGCCCCAGCTCCTGGAGTGACTGGATAAGGGGAGATGAGGAGCTGACAAGCCAATCATTTGAGCACACGTTATTTGACCATGGTCAAATATAATCAAATACTCCATGAAGCCAAGAATGCCTTTGTATAGGTGGTGGCCTACCTTTTCTATTGCATCATATTGTCATCTGTTAGAAAAGGCAAAACTGAGGGCTCTTTGACCCAGCCCTACAGAAGTCAGGATCCACACATGCTGGCACCCTGGCCTGCTCCTCTCTCCTGAGTTCTTCCAGCCTCCTTTCCCTTCCCCTCAGTAAGCCAGATGGAGCTACTCTGTGCTGAAGGAAGAACCAAAACCAGCAACATAGAAGAGCTTCTCTTACTGGCCATCTGCTGTTAACTGCAGGCATCTCCAAAGAGGAACAGGAACACGCAAAGAATATAATGCATAAACAGTTGTTGGCCTGCTGCCTAGTTAGCATGACAGAACTTAAAACTAGACTACTGTGGTTTTTATAGTTGCTATGCTTGTTTTATTTTTGCTTAATTTCATTTTTTTATTTTGTAATTATTCGGATCCTGGGGTTGTGGGATAAAAGCCAAGGAGGAGGAGAACTGTTCAGTCTTGAATAGCATTCACATTTATACTTGGCATGGTTAATTTAAATAATTCAATTTAATTGATTAAAATTTGATTTAATTGCTTCACAATAACAGTTAAGAAATTTGTTTTTTCTAGAATTAGCACAAGCATCTAACTCAGTGATTCTCAGCCAAGGTGACATGGCACCTTGGGGTGCCTTGAGGTCCTTTCAAGGGTGCCATGGGGCGCCATACAATGTTAGCAACAAAAGGTTTACAAACATGATTCACAAGACATTTCATAGACTTGAAAGCTTATGCTATATATGGCTGTGTGAGTGTGTGTATGTATGTATATGTATATATATGTAAGAGCTGGCATTTTTCAAATGGTACCTCCACGGTGGAGAACCACTGATTTAACCTCCTGAAAGCAGGGTGAAGTTGCACCTTATAAACTGAAGGCACCTTATAGATTAACCAAAGTGTGTGTGCTCATGCAAATGTGTGTGTGTGTGTGGTACATGCATGCATGCACATACACACACACATGCGTATGCATATACATATGTATACACATGCATATACATACACATATGTGCTCTGTATGCGTGTGTATCTATAGCACAAGCTTTAGTGAGCTGAAGCACCTTCTATTTCGCTTCGGACTAGCATAGCTAACTATGCCCCTCTCTTTATGAACTGCATCAGAGATGCATAAGCTTTTGTAAACAGCAGCTTGCTTCCTTAGATGCTACCAAAGATTAAAGTCTCTCCCTTCACTGTTCTAACGTGTTCATCCTTAAAACACTGTCGGGGGAAGGGGGGTTCCTTTCTGTGGAGTGGGATATGGCCGCCTCCCTGGGATCTCTTGAGCATATATTAAAAATATTGCATAGAAGGACTTTAGCTGCCTTGGTTCCCCAGCTTTACATGTGGCAGGTTAGTCTGGGTGGACAGCAGTCTTACAGAAAGTTTAGATTACAGATTTGTATAGGATGGTCTCAGGCAGGAGGCTGGACTAGATCACTTTCTCAACCCGTGGGTCGTGACCCAAAAGTGGGTCACAAGAATATCTGAAAGGATCTTGAGCAAGTCCCAGAAAAATGCAGGAAAACATGGGATTCCCCTTGCAGGCCGGCAGCATTCCAGCCTGCAAGGAGCTGCTTGGGGCGACTGGAGGCAGTGGGCACATGTGCATCTCTGTGCGCGTGCACACACACACGGCCAGCATGCAGCCAGGCAGGGAGCTGTACGGCTGGCCCGGTGGCATTGGGGCTGGCGCCCATACTTACAGGGGTGGGGCACCTGGGAGGCTGCTCAGGGGGCAGGTGGGGCTATGACCAGGCTGCCTGGTGAGGGCAGGGGGTGCCACAGGCCTCCCCTCCTCTTCCTCCCTCTGGCCCATGCCAAGGCCGGACTTGTGACTCAAGGGGCCCCCTCTGGCAGGGCTGGGGAGGCAGAGGGGTGCAGGTTGGGAGTGAGGGGCACCAGTATGGCGGGGGGGGGTAGGGGTCTGTGGCTTGGGAGTGAGGGGCACCGGCAAGGCCAGGGGGCTTTGTGTCAGGATGCGCCATCGATGCTTACAAATGGGTCCTCGTACAAAGAAGGTTGAGAACCACTGGACTAGATGACCTCTGGAGGTCCCTTCCAGCCCGACTTCTCTATAACGTATAAGTGTTGTAGTCATTTGACAATATTCCAGCTGTTAATTGACCAAGTGGTGTTTTTGTTTTTCATCTGACTGCTCAAGCACAGGACCAGAAGAACAGGGAGAAGCACAGCCACACCCCTGCTGGCCCAGAGACAACCAGGGGAGGCACAACTTACTCTGCATATGAACAAGTTTAGTTCAGGGCTGTTGGGCCAGCCACCCACTCCCCCACATCGCTCTTGCTGCCTTGGTGACAACCAGGGGCTCTGGGGCCAGGTTAAATTGCCGACATAGCAGCACCAGGACGGGTGGGTGTCTTGGGTGTGTGGGGGGAGGTCTCCCTGAGGGGGTGGCAGTGGGAGGGGAGTGGGGGCTGCTCACAGCTGGGGTCCAGGGAGTCCATAGGAGGCGGGGCCCCGTGGCGTGTGGCCCGTGACCCGTGGATCGCCCTGAGTTAGCCTGCGAGGTGCATCCCCGCCTTCCACCCGAGGAAGGGGAGCCCTGCAGACCCCACCCGCAGGCAGCAGAGGCACCTCCCCCGTGCCCCAGCCCACGGGGCTGCCCCTGACCGATCACAACAGACCACACAGACCCCAGCGCCGCCGCCTGTCTCTGCGCCGACACCCGCTCACCTGCAGCAGCGCCGAACGGCCCCCCTGCCACCAGCCTGCCCCGCCCCACGTGGCCTCTCCCACTCCCGCGGGTTTAGCCACGCCCTCTTCCTGCTAGCCCCGGGGCACGTCAATCCGCCGGTGGCGTCACGACGCCCAGCCTACAGGAGCTACGAGTGGCTGGTGCGGGCACCGCTCGCGGGTGACGTCACAAAGCCCAGTGTAGCGAGGCGACGGCTGCTAGGTCCGCGCCTTCCCGCTTGCTTCCTGCGGGCGGGAGTCCCACGGCTGCTGGAGCCCAGCTCCGCCTGCGGGCTCGAGCCAGCCCCGGCGAACCGGCACCGGGCTCCTCCCTGCTTCCGCCGCACGCGTGCCCCCCGGAGCCTCAAGTTGCTCCCTTTCCTTCCCTTCCCAGGGAACCCGCCCCTTGTGGGCTCTCTTGCCCCAGCCCCAGGTGGCGGTGCCAGTTGCTGCCCAAGCAGAGATAGCGACAGGGAGCTACGTTCATGGGCCAGGCCTTTGGCAGTTTCTCAAGTATCTAGCCCACTATGTGCTGGCAAATGAGCTGCCCATGCAGAGACACCTTGTCAGTCAGTAGAGGGACCAGCTTACCCTTGCGTGGTTAGGCTTGGGACATACGCGATCCTCACTACATTAGGAGCAGAGAAGGGTGCTTAAGACAATCACAGCCCTACCTAGAGGTGAAAGGAATCATTTGTGGGAAGAGTAACCCCCAGCCCTGGAAAACGGGGCCTGGGCCGAATCTCAGGAAATGTCCATTTTGCTAAAAGCTTTCTGGTTGCTTCTCAGGAGACACAAACCCAAACTGGCTAAAGCAGAAGTTGAAAAAACAACGTTTTTCAGCTAAGTGCCAAAAAGCCCTGCAACCTGGACTTGGAAGATGTTGACATGTCAGGGGAGGATGGCAGGGGAGCTGCGAGGGGCTCGATCCTTGTGGCAGTGCAGCCAGCCCTTGCCCCTTCCCTGCCCTGCTCCCAGAGGTGCGTGTGCAGCTGCTGCTGCGACAAGTTGGGCGGAGGTTCTGGACCCTGTCTGCCTGTTGCAAGCAGCCTGTGCTCTGGGCAGGCACCTGCCACAGACCCTGTGCTGCTGGCAGCAGGCAGCTGCGAGCCTGCAAGCAGGGTCCAGAGCACCAGCTCAGCTTGTTGCTGGCAGCAGCTGCGCATGCACCTTGGGGAGCACAGTGGGGAAGGGGACAAGGCTGCGCTGTCCCTGGGCCCTTCCCTGCTGTGTGCCCCAAAGGCATGCACGCTGCCATTGCCAGGCCTAGAGCTGGGCTGGGGCCCTCGAATGGGGTGCAACTGTTTGCAGCCTGCCTGCTGCTCTGGGCTCTGTAGCTGGCACAGCTGCCCAGAGCATAGGTCACTTTTATCATGCTGAGCAAAATGGCCTCACATGCCATACTCTGGCGCACATGCTGGGGGTTGCTGACCCCTGGGCTTAAGATTGTATGGCTCTGACATGGCATTTTGAAATCAATCTATATCTTGAAATGGCAACTGGCGGCAAAAAATGCAGTATTGATATGTTATGAATTGTTTCCTTCAGATCTGAAGCGTTGACATGCTTTGTTTCAATGTTTCCTGTGACTATTGGAATGTTTTGTGTTCCCTGATTTTTCTGAGATTGTGTTTCCCCGTTCTGATACAGGAGCACAAGAAGTAATTTTGAAATGCTGACGTTTCCTGAAGGGCAAAAGTTCCATTTCCAATCCAGTCTGACTGCTAGCTCAAACCAACGAATTGAGGTAGAAGAAAGTGAGGTCTCTTTCTGTTTTGGGGGACACCAAGCTCCCCAACACAGGAGTTTCTCCAGGTATTGATTTCCTAATCCGTCTCACTAGGCTTGATCTCTAGTGGGACAGTTACAAAAAATTATTACAAAACCCTCCACTTTACTATCACCGTGCTTCAAAGGTGCAATTAGCTTGTACATATGGTGAGGAAAATAAGTGCTTAGCTCATGCCAGCTGTATGTGATTGGAGGGTATTCTTATCCCAGAATCTAATAATTTATTTTCCTTTCATCCATGGGATTTAGTTATATGCTTTATGAGACCTTTACATGCAGATGCTTTTCTGGGGATATCATTAATATCCAATTTTTTCCCATTCCATTCATTCAAATTGGATTTTACATGTCTGTGTGGTTTTTAAGTAACTACAATGTCATCTGAAGGTATATCAAGTTAGGGAACAGGTTTTGTATGGTTAGCTGTGGCAGCGTGCAACAGAGAGCATTTGTTTAGTCCTTCACCCTAACTTCAACAGATGCTATTTGTAGAGTGTTGCCCCTGCCCTGGATTACTTAAAGCTATGAAATTAAACTGGTTTAGTGAAATTAATGAAAAATTCCATGTGTTGACTTGTTCAATATTAAGGGTTCACCTAGCTGCTTGTTGTGGTAGGAACCAAATGCCTTTTAATGTAAAATCAAGAGTTGGAGTGAAGTCTTTTGTGAACCTCCCTATGGTTTAATCAAACTGACGCAAGTTTGTGTGCATGTCTGCATGATGTCAAACACTGACTATTTCTCTATTGTGCGACACTTTCACTGCCTTAGAAATAGGCATGAAAGCGCCCTCCATGCATCATTTCACCATTGGTTCTAAAATAGTTTCTGTTTTAATATTGGCTCCTGCATGAGGGACTGAATTTCCCAGTGGACAAGCTCGAACAATAGCCCTGCAGGCCTCTTGGCCTTTGTTTTATATTTTCAAGTGCTTGTTGCTGGTTATCACAAGATTACACCAAAACCTTTCATTTGAAAAAATAGAAAAAATAAGTAATTTCTTGTCTTCAAGATTGTGGAAGCTGATGGTCCAAAAAGTAGTTGAATAAACAGACTCACACTGATTTCTTTTAAAATTCCTGGTTTTGATGCCAACTCATGATTTATTAATGTGTGGTACTGGGTGCTGCTTATTTAATTATTCTAATAGAGAGGGTATTTAAGAGTAGTGCTGCTCTGCACGAAATGGTGGTGTGTATCATGTGATGAGAGGGAATAACTTACAGAAAGTCATTTTCCTCTGACCCCGAAGAAAAACCTTACTGTCCATGAAATACCTTCTGCACATAAAGCCATCTCTGATGTAGTGTCTGTTGGCAAATGGTTTTGTTGGCAAATGGTGGCACAGTAAAAAAAGGCACCATACGGCTACATGTAGATGCACCCACTGTATATCAATGATTCCCACAGGAAGTAGTGGGTCCATTGCCCACTTCACCCAAGCAATTTTGGCTGCGGACAATGTGGGGCCAGTCACTGCTCTGAGTGGATTTTGAAGCTTTCCCAACACTCATCTTGTTCTTGAGGGGGTTGGGACAGAAGGCCCCAGCTTTTGCATGTAGGGCAATGGGATGATTTCTCACATTTCAGATCCATAGCATAGGGCATCAGTTAGCAAGATTTTCTGGAAGTGGGCTGGCAGGACCCAGCTTAGGACAGAAGTGGGCCCGTGCTAGGACTTGAGAGTTGCCACTTCTCCTCACTGCGCAGTTGTAGTGAGCGGGCAAAGCTACCTATGCACCTGGCCATAGCATGGGCAAAGCCTTCTATGGTAAAACACCTCCATCATTTCACCTGATTCCACTTGTTTGATCCAATGGCTCCATAACACTGATTTGGCATTCAGGCCTTAGGTTGCCAGTCCTTGGATAGGGCACTTGGTACCTACAGAAGCCTTGGGCAGTGCAGGCAATGCCATTTGGCTGTGGCCAGCTAAAGGTTGATTGATTTGTGATAGCTAGGATTATTTGCATCATGGTTCACCTGACCATGCAGTTGGGAAGATGTGGTTGGCATGATCTGTTCATCTCTCCCTTGTGAAAAACATGACCCTTCTGCACCTTTCACATGTGCCCCATGGGCCTGACCATCCTGGCAGTGTAACAGGAATCCTTACCCTGAGCTTGCTTGGAGCCAGGCCCTGCTCTCTCTTCAGGCAGACCCCTGGCTATGGCTCTAGAGGCCACCAGAAATGATAATAGAGCTCACAACTAGTTCCAGCTTGAGTCTGGCTTGTTCAGGTTGTTGACTCAGAGGTACCTCAGAGGAATTGTTCAAGAATCCCTCTGGTAAAAAAGATCATAGGATAATTTACCTCCAACTGCAACTCCCACCTTATGACCAGGCAGTGCTTGACTTGTGCCCAACAGGATGCAGTCTGCCTGGAATTTTGCATGCCATTTTTCTCACACCAGAATCTTGCCCCTGTACAGAGGAAGCTACCAGCCCCTGGAACCAATGCTTTTTCCCTGTTGTCATTCATATCACTGGAAGTGCAATGTCAGCAGTGCCCAGGCTTTGTGCAGGGCCCTACTGAGAAAGGAACACCAAAACCTGATGCCCGGTCTTAAGCTTCTTATGGTCCACGTGCTGTGATTCTGTGTATATCACTTTTTGGACTGTCTCTACAGCAGCAGACATTCAGGGCCTGTGACATGGACTTTAGCTTGTTTCTGTGGGACAGAGTCTGAGCTACAAAGAAAATGAATGGAGACCAAGCTAAGGGACTGGATTAAAACCCACTTCCGTTTTGAGCCTCCTGCAGGCAGGCTCAAAGTCTGCTTGCTGAAGAATCACTACCATGCAGTGTAGTGAGAGACATGTTTTGAAGAGGTCCCTAAGCAAAGCAAAACTCCTGTCATTTTCTTTTCAGGAATATTTCTCAGGTTCACATTCAGGCAATTTCATTGGCGTTAAGTGAGCATTTTCTTGCCAGCCACCCTCTTCAGGGCTCCCTTCACATCCTTGTTCCTCAAGCTGTAGATTAGAGGGTTCAGCATGGGTGTCACCACCCCATAGAAGACAGAAAACAGTTTGTCCTGTTCAGAGACAGACTTGGTCTGTGGGCGAACATACATGACCATGGCTGTACCATAGAATATACTGACTACGGTTAGGTGAGAGCTGCAGGTGGAAACAGCTTTGTTTCTTCCCTGGGCTGAGCGGATGCGCAACACAGCCATGCCAATACGGATGTATGTCACCAAAATGAAGGCAAAGGGTATGAGAAGTGTTAGGACCCCACTAGCAAACATCATGATGCCATTGAGATAGGTGTCAGAGCAGGCCAGCTTCAGCACAG